GTTTGTGACTATAATTCTGCTATTTTTAAAGTCACGTCCACATTAAAATTATGTGGACATAATATCACTGACCATGACATGTTGGAGAAAACTTTTTCCACCATGCATATGTCAAATGTGATATTACAGCAACAATACAGAGAAAGGGGCTTTAAAAAGTATTCTGAGTTAATCTCAGTATTACTTGTTGCTGAGCAGAATAATGAGCTCTTAATGAAAAATCATAACATGAGACCCACCGGTTGTAGCCCTACAAATTTTGGCCATCCTGATCGTGGTTCAGCACCAGAATCAAATGTTATCCGAGGTGGTGCTCGCGGACACTTTAAACGTGGACGCGGAAATAACCGCAACAAAGGGCCGAACAGGGGCTATAAAAATCCAAATGGATCATCCTCCAAAGAAAAGGGAAAATTCAAACCACCACAGGCTAAAACTTATGAAAAGCCAAAACCAAGTGGTGAATGCTACAAGTGTGGCATAAAAAGACACTGGGCGAATGAATGTCGAACGGTAAAACATTTGGTTAAATTATACCAGGCTTCCACAAAAGGAAAAGGGAAAAATGTGGAAGCTAATTACGCTGATGATATCAATCCAATTTTGCCTAAATTTGACATGTCCGATTTCTACATGGATGATGCTGAAATTGGTGATGAAGTGACCTTTGGTGGAACTACTACTATTTAAACATTTTCATTTACTCTCTTATGGTGTGTTTACTTTTTAAATAAATGTTGGAAATTTGTATTTTATTTTCATGTGTGCTTGTATTATTATGTCTCTTCTAAAAAAAATAATGATAATAAAATGTATGGTATTTGTGTTAATTATCTTTAACTTATATTTATTTATATATTTATTTGTATTCAAGATATGAAGATAACTGCTTATGGCTCCAGTGGCAAAGAACAATGTCTAATTGACAGTGCCACAACGCACACCATTTTGAGAAACAAAGAATATTTTTCTCAAATGACATTGATAGAAACTAATGTCAATACAATATCTGGTGTTGCAAAGCTCATTGAAGGGTCTGGAATGGCTTGTATAATCCTTCCCCAAGGTACAAAATTAATTATCAAAGACGCATTATATTCCAGCAAATCCCGAAGAAATTTATTGAGTTTTAAGGATATGTGTCAAAATGGTTATCACATTGAAACTCTAACGCCCCGAAACCTGTCCCAAAAGAATTCATTAAATTGTTAGAGCAATTGATTACGAATTGGGCCCAATAAGGGGTTAAAATTATAATTTGGATTTTAAGCCCAACTTTTATGTCATCTCGTAGGAAATATTTTTGTGATCGCGTCGGTTCAGACGGCTCGCGAATCGGAGTTACAGAGCTCAAGTTATGACCATTTAATCAGGTATTTTGGGTCCGAATCCCAATCTTTTTTGGAATGGGACCATTAAATAAACATAACCACACAAACCTTATCCTTCGTTCGTCCGTCCTTTTTCTTCTTCTTTCTTCTTCTTCTTCTTCCTTCTTCTTCTCCTTCATTCTTCTTCGTCGCTCGCCGCCGGAAGCCTCGCCGCACCAGCGCCGATCGCCGCCGTACAATTGGAGTAGCCGCCGGAGGTTCGCCGCAGCCAATTGTCGCTGCCCGGCGTCGCGCAAGCCAGGGCTCCGTCGCTCGCCGCCGTGAGCCAGCGCCGGTCGCTCATCGCCGCCGCCGAGTTGCAGCGCCGCCGCTGCTTCCTTCGCCTCCAGCCGCCGTCGCTCACCGCCGTGAGCCAGCGCCGGTCGCTCATCGCCGCCGCCGATTTGCAGCGCCGCCACGCCAAACGGAGGACGTCGCCAAACGCCGGACGCCGCTGTTTCGCCCTCGCCGGAATCGAGAGCCGCCGTCGCCTGAGCTTCCAGCCGATCGCCGAGCTTCCAGCCGCCGTCTCCCTTTGCACAGCGGCCATCCGCCGCCGTCGAGTGCAGCGCCGCCAGTCGCTGCTCATCGCCGTCGAGTTGCCGCTACGCCACTGTCGCCGGCGTCCGTCACCGTCGCCGCATCCGGCCGCTGCCCCAAGTTGATATCGCTGACAGATTAACCCCCACGCCGGATTGATTGGTCGATTTCGTATTTTGACTCGATTTGACCCGTTCGGTTGATTTCGTTGATTTGTCTTCCGTTCGAGCGATCGATTTGATTTCGACGTAATCCAGGTCCGTACTATGAAGTTAATAGCATTCAGAATCGATTTAATGGTTTGGATCGTTATATGTGTTTATGCTATAATTTGGCTAAATTGGTTAATTGAATTAAATTTATTGTTTGAATTGAATTGTTGAGGATTGTGAATTGACTGAACAGGTTTGACTTTGACTTGGGTTAGGTCATGTTTGACTTAGACTTTGACCGGATATTCTGTCGACGTAGGTTTAACCGAATGGTTAAATCCAAGACTTTAATGAATTAGTTAAGTTAATTAATTAATTCTAATTGGTGAATAAGGTCAATTGGTTTATTGTGTTGAACATAGAAACTGGCCATCGCTCGGGCGGCTGCAGGGCCTGGTCAGTGAGGTTAAGACGTGCGCACGAGGGTCTGCGATCTTGGGTTTGAGGCCATCGCCCGAGGGATCCTACCTCCACCGAATTGAGGCCATCTTCGGTATTACGGATTGAGGCTATCTCCGTCATAGGCAATAAATGTTAAGTGGTTTGACTTTGGTGAAAGTCTAAATTGGTTTGACCGGTGGTCAAAGAGTTCATGAGAAACCCGTAACACCTAAATCGTTTTGAAAAGAAAGAAAATAAGTTGACTGTTGGTCAACCGTCTAAAGAACCGAAT